TATCTTTCACAAATAGAATATTTGTCGAAAGTTCAAATAATTTGGCTATAATTTGAAAAAGTTGCCCTGAAAGATGTTAGATAGATGACCTGCACCACTCCAATGTTAAAGGAAAAGCATGATTTACAGGGGCAAGCCATAACTAATTTGAAATGGAGAGCATATATTTTAAATTAAATACATTTATAACTTCTTTCTTTTTAAATGTCTAAATAACAGAAAGGGATTTTAGTTGTATATTTCCCCTGTATATCGTACTTCTCCTGATAATAATCGAGTAACTCCAAAATATTGTTATAACTTGAAAAATTCATAATGTACTGTTGCATGTTTATTATTGAATAATTAATCAATAAGTTTAAATTAAATTAATGAGGTTTCAGTTAATAAAATTATTTTTAATTTATTTTTATTTCTGTATGTATTTTAATCGTTTTACATAAGCAAATTAATGTAAAAATAATTAAAGAAGTATTAATTTTTCGCTTTATATACTGTAGAATTTAATTATCATATACTTATTGTTATAAATAATTATATTTAATTTATATAATGTCAATTTTCTGTTATAATTCACTTATTATAAGTGCATTATAAAATTCTTTACTTAATTAATAAATCGTATATCATATATTAGACTTAAAATAAGTATATTATTTTTATATATTAATTTCTTTAACATTAATGTAAAATATATAATTTTTAAATAATTATGAGTATTGTACTTTCAGAATTATGCAAATAATATTTTTTACAACTTAAAAACAATGAGCATTTTTAATCTCATACAATTAATTTGCTCCTCAACAACGTGAAGTTTTTCGGGTTTTTACACGTGTCTAAGACCAAAATTTTAGCCCCCTTCCTATGGAATGTCCTCCAGAAGCTATTTCTCTTCCATTGTTGCATTGTCTTTTCCCATTAATCCAATCCAATATTATACTATTCAATATTTATCTTTCTGTTTATGTTGCTCTCAGTATTCTTAAAATAAAAAGAGGAATGTAAATTTTTAAGCTCATTTACATTAAAACAAGAATTGAAATCTTGTTTAAACAGTTAAATGATTCAGCATGTAATTAGCTATTTAATGACATCTGTTTGTCTGTCCGTCCTCCCTTGATCTCGACAACGGTGTTAGATAGATGAACGACTCGAGCAGATATGGAAAGATAATGACCAGTATGCTCCTGATAACGATATTCAAACTTCCGGTCTAGATCGGAAGTCACGTGATTTCAATTCAAAAAGTTCCCCGCAACGGAGTTACGTAGCTGACCGGCATGACTCTGTTGCTATCATGGAAAGTATGATGTACAGGGGCAAGACACTACTAATTTGAGGTGGAGAGCATATATTTTAAATTAAATACATTTAAATATGATTGAAAATTGCAGCCTGGAATAGTGACAATGCCACGAAAAATAATTGCTGGTTTTATCTATAAGCTTCTAACCTAAATTTTCAGTCTGTAATAAAAATCTCTGCCATAAAAACTTTCGTTGTTTTCATAAGTTCAAAATGACATTTTCAAAAAAACTTCATCTACTACGATGACTTTTTTTAAAAATTATAATACATAAGACCAATAAAGCTCATAAGCCAAAGAGTATATAATAGCATAATTTAATTTATAAATGACAATTTAAATTTAATTAATTAAATTTTCATTCAGAAAGTCGTAAACTGCCAGTTCGATATTTATAAAAGTGATCGAGCGAGTATGGATCGATCACTAAATAGGAGAACCAATAGAGGGGTAGAACGTAAATTCAATATGGCGTCAGCACACCAGATGGTGTTAGTTGGCAGTGTATATGGATAGAAAGATCGAAGTAGGACAGAACGGTCCAGAAGTGTATCAGTAGCATGTTGTCTGTGTCGGTGGCTGATCGAGTACGTTTCAAAAGTAAGAAAGGAGACATCATCACAGCTCTTCCCGTTACAGTAGAATTTGGGAAGTTTGTTAAAGGAGACAGAACGTCACGTCTTGCCAATTTAGACGAGTGGAATAAATTAAATTTAGGAGGTTTCGATTCTGATCAGGTGGGCAATTATATACTAATATATATATATATAAATTCTAAAGCAATTATAAGTAACGTTTCTACTAACTTAGAACATATTAGGGCTTATCACACCAATTTTAAGTCAGTAAAAACGTTTAATGAGCTAAAAGAAAAAACAATAAGTAATTATTTTTAATATTAATTAAAGGAATTTTTAGGTTAATTTAAACAGTTGAATGTATAATAAAAAATAAGTTGATTATTATGGCGTGGAAGAAAATGTTTTACATTTATCTAGAGAGGGAAAATTTGTGGGCTGCCCTTTGGGTGTGTGTAGAGTCAGAGTGGTGTGTGGAGGCAGTACTGAGAGGAGTGCTGACCGCACTACTGACCGGGGAGCATACCAGAGTGGGTAGCTGTGTGGCTGGTCAAGAACCAGTATTGTAGTTATTAAATGATTGTCGGGTATTAAAGTGTTGCTCGATTGTGGAGTGCCAGAGAGTCACTCACTTATTAGAGACATTAAAGTGTAATTGTGTTGTTATTGTTAGACAGGAAGTGTACTGTGTTTTTTTGACCGTATAAACAGGAACATTTCATACCACCATTATCACAACATCAATTTTGTATACAACATTTTCTGGTCCGTCGATATACAACAAGATTTAATGACGATATTACTCGTTATTAGCATTTGGTATTTTTTAAAACTCATCTCTACAATCAATATTAATCTTTTTTGCTATTCTATAATAATTATTAATATAAAAAGTCTTGTAAAAATTTTTTAACAGATATAACTATATGAAATTTTAAAGTTTGGCCGGGAAAGTTACGCAACACATTACTGAATTTTTATTTATTTATTTTTAAATCTGGTGTAGTTTTTGCAATGTTTTTAAACATTTAGATAAAAATTATTAATTTTGAAATCATTTCCATTAACGATTTCCTTTGTTTCTACTGTAACATTAAACAAAGCTTTTAATTATAAATATTATTTATTCATACGTCGATGATAATGTAAATATTTTATTAAACAATATTTTACAGAGTGATACGTTAAATATTTCCATGGAAACTAAATTTTGTCATTTATATTTTACAAATAATCTCATTCCAAAGATATTATTAAACAACCATTTTGGTAGTTTTGTAGTTAGAAATTCCAATAACAAACACGCAATTAAATTACCTGACAACATTAAGCTTACACATAAAGTATTAATTAATTAAAGCCATCGTATAATACTAAAAATACATAATTTTATTAACTTACATTTTATTTTTCTAGAGTTTTATTTCAATTTGAGAGAAGAGATGAGTTTAAAAAAGAAATGTAAATGATAACAATGAGTAAAATCTTTATTAAGTCCGACACACGACTCCACTTTATATCCTCATTCCTTCGATCTTTAATCATTAAAATTTAATAGTTCTAGTACAAAACCTCTTGTAAAATTTCATAAAATGTTAACAACTGGCACTAGTTATAAGGCTTCAAAGTGGGTGACCTCCCACATACACTGATATATCCATACATACAGAAAATACACTTCAACTGTGTTGCATTTATCAACACTTTAAGCTCCTTTGAGTTCAAAAATGTAAAAATGTTTAGGAGGAGGGGTCATTTTTTCCATTGATTTCCACACTTTCCATGTTTTACTTCCACTGATTTCCACACTTTTCCTCTCTACTTCCACTGATTTCCACACTTTCCCTCTGTTACTTCCACTGGTTTCCACACTTT